TACGTGCAAACTTAACAGCACAGACGCCGACTACAAAGTTAGCACGGGTATATAGAAATACACAAAAATAATTAAAGAAAAAATACTACAGTTAGGGCAATAAATTAACAATTAAAAAATAAAGTTAGCATAATAATAACAATATAAAAATCGACCAGTTTCGGAGAAACATATCGTCTGGCCCTGGAGTCGGCTCGGCGTCCAACAGAAATGAGTACCAGGAATCGTCCTGGTGGCAAAAGGCTGCAGGCGCTTAAGGTTGTCTACCTCACCGCCATCTGTGAGCCGACTGTCTAAAATATGATGGAGCCTCGACGTCTCACAACCCTATTTGCCTCCATTGCCTGATAGAGGAACAGCTGTCCTTTTTTTAACGCATGATGATGGCCGCAAAGGACCAAAACGTGTAGCGTGAAGATATTGAAGTGAACTGAACTTCATGATTTATTTCAACCGTCTTCCAGTGCATACACTCATCTATCTCCTCCTCTCTCTCGCAGATGAGTGTATGCACTGGAAGACGGTTGAAATAAATCATGGACTTAAATCAGTGCAACAGGACGCTAAAATATAACAGAACTAAACTTATTTGTCGGGAATTTGATTCTGTCAGTTCTTTGTTGAAAGTATATATAAAGTTTGATTTGTTTCATTCTGGTCCGTCACACAAAGACAAAACAACTCCGTCCAGTGTTGTTGTGATCAACGGACATATATACACGTACATACTAATTAACATGGAGATGATGGGGATTGCAGTAGTAAATTTGGGGGTTTTCTGTGGAAGCAACCAAGTAACAATCTCTGAAACATTACTACTACCACTGCTACTACTACTGGTTAATGATTCAACGGGAAGTCACCATGTGACATATGAATTCATGTTGTTCTTAAAGAGTTCTCTCTTCTGGGATAGAGCGAGGTGCAGTTCAGTGAAAGTGAACTGACATTTCGGAAGAATATGTCACCTCCATCTTCACTCACTCATGGATCTGAGCCCTTCTTGAGAAGCCGCCAGTTGTGTATCTATTCAGGAACTTCCCAGCATTTTATGGAACCCGAAGGTTTATTACCGTGTTCACAAGAGCCCTCCACTGGTTCTTATTACATCTCTCTAAAGGCACGTCCACATTACTCGTGCTCGTGCTCGTGCTCGCCAGGCTTTTACTTCTGCTTGCAAATGTTCGTCCACACTACTTCAGTTGCTCGCCAGGCTTCGGCGCGTGAGGATCTGTATATTTACTCGTAGTGTGTATAGGCTGTAGTCGTATTTTAATTTATTGGCTATAGTTTTTAAATTAAAAATTAAAAATTTGCTTGTCTCGTGATTTGTCATATCGTCCACATTACTCGCGAGCATAGCGAGTCACACGAACACGAGTAATGTGGAAGCTCCTTAAGATCCGTTTTAATATTATCCACCAATCTACATCTTGGTCTTTCTAAAGGTCTGTTTCCTTCTGGCTTTCCCACCAGTATCCTATATTCATTCCTCTTCTCTCTCGTTCATGCTACATGCCCTGCCCATCTCATCCTCATTGACTTGATCATTATACTTGGGGAAGAGTAAAAGTTATGGAGCTCCTCATTATGCCGTTTTCTCCAACCTCCCGTCACTTCGTCTCTCTTCAGTCCAAATATTCCCCTCAACATCCTGTTCTCAAACACCCTCAGTCTATGCTCGTCACCTCCATATTGAAACTTGAAAAGTAATCCAAGCAAGAATCCAGCATAAAATAGTCTCTACTTGCTGCCTACGTCATGCTGGTTTGTTGGTGTCGCGGTTTCAGTGTCGCGGCACACGTGTTAATGAACAGCCTGTCATTGTCTGCTTAAAGTTGTGACCGTCTGTGTAGTTGCCGTGTGTTGTCACTGAACACCGGCCATATTCACAGCTTACATCCGTGACTGTGATCTTTCCTCAGGTGTCCATTGCAGTTCGAATCGTGCCTTCTCCCGACTGGTTTGTGGGCCTTGACAGTCTGCAGCTATGTAAAAATGGATTCTGGATTGACGCTCTGTCCGTTCAGGTAACAAAAAGAATTTGTAACTTCAATTTTCTCTGAAATACATTAGTCCCTACGATGAGGCTACCAGAACTTATAAATTCATATTTATGCAACGTGGTAAACCGTTTATGCATAAATTAACACAAATTCTGAAGAAGTTAAATTTACACTCATAACATCGAAATTTCACATGTGTCTTCTTACAGTTTCATGATTATTTTACAGACGGTGAGACTCCTTGGACGGATGATCAGCTCGTCGCAAGGCCTCTACCTAAACACAGGACAACACAAACAGAATAAACGCATACACACACCAAAAATCTATGCCTTGTGTGGGATTCGAACCCAAGATCCCCGCTTCCGAGCGAGCGAAGACAGTACGTGCCTTAGACCGCTCGGCTACCGTGACCGGCAAATGAGTGCTTAAGGCACTGAAAATGGCTTCCTTCAGAAGGTGGCCTGGAATTACGCAGACAACAAACACTCACATTTCCATCCCTGACTTAGACACTGGAAAAGGCCGCGCCGTAGCTCAAGCGGTTAGTCGCTGGCTTCCCACCGCGGCGGCCCGGGTTCGATCCCGGGTCTGGTCAAGTGGGATTTGTGGTGGACAAAGTGGCGCTGGGGCAGATTTTTTCCGAGCACTTCGGTTTCCCCTGTCAATTTTCATTCCATCAATTGCTCCACAATAACCCTCACCTATCATCTGTGGCTGGTACAATAGGCCAGAAGTGGCCGCAGTACAAGGGACTTAGTCCCACCCCACTAGCAATAAAAATATAGAAACTGGAAAAATTTTCTTTAAACATCTACGAAACTAGACGGCAGACATCTAACCACTTCTTCCCCATTTCCAACCCTGTGCAGGTTCATGTAATCACGTCACTGTTGGACCTCTTAAGCTGGATGACCAGACTTCAGCCTCCTGTTTCAGACGGGGCCCATGGACGCAGGCACGGACAGTGGGTTCACGTTCACGGCGCCCAACTGGCCGAGCGAGCCACGTCAGAAGATCAGTCACATCACGGCGCAGCAACCCAGCCACCCCGCCAACTCATTCTACTACCCCGAGAAGAAACGCCTCCCCCCCGTCGCCACGTTCCACTTTCACAAGGTGAGGAGGTAGCCACTGGCCACTACTTGGCCTGTTGTACCAGCCCCGGACGATGGATGGTGAGTGTGGAGGAGTCAATGGAATAAGAATTGGCAGGGGAAACCGAAATACTCGGAGAAACCTACCCCAGTGCAAGTTGTCCTCCACAAATCCCATATTACCTAACCTGTGCTCGAACCCGGACCGCCACGGTGGGAAGACGGCGACTAACCGTCTGAGCCATGGCACTGCCACTGTCGGCTCAGGTAGTGTCTGACGCTGGAATTAAAACCAGGAGGGTTTTCATTTTTTAAACATGCGTCGCAGCATGTAACGCATTTCCCCCCAGATCTTTCCAAGCGAGAGAACATTTTAATATCGCTTTACATATTTATAAACAAGAAGTTCTGGGAAGAACTAATGGCCTATTTTCCTTTGATACGACACGGACCCCATAGAAAACGACGTGTTCAACAATTCTGTTGTTGCGTGCGTAGTATTTGTTGACGCGTTTTATCGAGCCGTTTCCTAACAACATGCTCATACAGAGACAGACTGATGGGAGGGATTTATGAAGGACGCCGTCGGAATGGGCTCAGTTGCCATGGTGTACATACTATATTTCTTAAAGACTGGTTCAGTCATTCAGTTGGTGGTATAGGAGGAGTCACAGACACGCACAGAGCATGGTGGTCTCATAAGCTTACTTATATTTTTTCTAAATAATGAAAGTAGGCTAGAAATTAAATGTAACTGTGAGACGATAGCAGAAAACCGAAATTAACGGCCGTGGGGATCCGTTGCGCTGACCACGCGACACCCTCTATCCGCAAGAGTTGGCACTAACTTCGCCGACAAGCGACGCTCGCTCGGTCAGTATAGTTCGCTCGCGGACTATAGCCACGGAATTTGTTTTTTTTTTGTTGTTTTTGTTTTGTGAGACGATAGCTCGGATTACGCAGTTTCGGATTACAATAGCAACGAACTGACGATCGTTAACACGTTCCATGAACGTAAGTTATATAATAGGCCATAGACTAGCAAGCAATTTTTTTTGCTTCAGTCTTTCGTGTCTCTGTGTTGTACAATATGTTATATATATATATATGCGAGACGGTTTAAGATTTATTATTTACACATATTATTCATGGTGGATGTCTTCAAACGTCGGCTTCGATTTATCATTCCGTATTACATAGGACTGGAAATTAATATGGGAGCCAGCAGGTGAAGTTAATAATACAAAAAATTGCATAACAAATACTAAGACTTCCTGCTGAATTTTCATTGGGTGTTGCACTCATGATGAAATACCACGCCACTTATTTTTATAAACAGAGTCTGTATGCCATGTACTGCATATATTGTAATGTACTTGTACATGCATGCAGAGTACCAATTCCTATAATCTGATAATTGGAGTCAAATATCATTGTATCACATATCCTAATTAAACTAGATTAATTAATCAAGAAATAGAATATCTCAGGGACCAATAACTCGTGGTATAGATGAAGACACAGAGTTTGAATCTAATTTTAACATAGTAATGTTTTACTTTCTGATATAATTATTATAAGCCCAATGTTTAAATTGTAAACTGTTGTATTATGTAAACTCAGTAGTCGTAAGTGACTAAGTTTCAAATTAAAAATCAAATTTTCTGGCTGCTTCTGCAAAACTGGCTACTGCTGGATGACTGATTTATTCATGGAAAAAATTCTGGTGGTACCAGTAGCTATTGGTGCTTCCGTAATCTACAATATTATAAAATCTATATTTCAGAGACCCAAGAAACCTCTTGTACTACACAGTCACAAATTATACACGTTGTGTGGTGACTTATAACAAAAAGTCCAGCATGGATTGTGCAGCTTATACATACTATCTCTCATCAATGTATTTGTGTTGTGTTTTCTACATTAAACGTGGGTTTTAGTCTATAAGTGTATAGGCCCCTATTTACATGTTTCTTGTCATGGGCCTTTTAAGGAAATGTGTGAACAGGGTCCAAGGAATATTATATTTTAGTGATATATTGTGTGTGTGAAATTTCTTTATTTTATTCTGTCATCAGAATAGAAAATATGGATACACCATACATTCTTCATTCCTTATCTTTCGGATCATTAAGCCATCGTCAGGTATTTTTTCTTGTTTACATTCACCTATATTTGTCTGCTGGGAATACTTGCTGTAAGAAATGATGAATATATGATTTAGCCATGTTTCCTGTTGTGGTGATGGATTAAAATATAAAAAGGGGACTAAGAAACTTACACTGAAAATATACTTGTACATGTTGAATACTGTTGAAGGAGGTGATCTCCATATGGTTCAATCAGAACCTACCTCAGAGAGAGAACTAGGACACGGTAACTCTACTGTTGAAGGAGGTGATCTCCATATGGTTCAATCAGAACCTACCTCAGAGAGAGAACTAGGACACGGTAACTCTACTGTTGAAGGAGGTGATCTCCATATGGTTCAATCAGAACCTACCTCAGAGAGAGAACTAGGACACGGTAACTCTACTGTTGAAGGAGGTGATCTCCATATGGTTCAATCAGAACCTACCTCAGAGAGAGAACTAGGACACGGTAACTCTACTGTTGAAGGAGGTGATCTCCATATGGTTCAACCAGAACCTACCTCAGGGAGAGAACTGACCCACACAAATCAGAAGAAGTCAGAAGTGAAGTTTTTATTTTATGTGGTGTAGTTACAGTAACCTGTGTTATCATTGTTTGTAATTATGAAGTGTTCTAGTTACAGCCACACCTTATTGTGGTGAGAGGCTTTGAGTATGCCAAGGACCCTGAGAGCTATACCAGCGGTAGCTACTGGCAGTGCCTCCCTTGCTGGACAGGTCAAAGGGTAGGCATAAGACGAAGAGAGACACCAAAAACCAAAAACTGATGCCGGAAGCAGAGTCATCAGTAGCGGCTTGAAGCACAGAGAAAATGATGCTCGAGATGGTTGAAGTTTGTATAGCAATAGGCGTGACCAGAGTGGTTTGAATGGCTGTTGTGCTGCGATGTGGAAAGCAAATGGAAAAACTACCACATTATCACTTTTCCTGGATAGTCTCTTTCCAAAAACAGAGATACCATGTATGCGAGATGGGGACAGAAGAGGATACTCTCATTTGAAGGAGAAAGCTCTAGATCACATTAAGTGGAGGAATTGTTTTGGAAGAGACTGAGGACCTGTTGTCTGACAGATTACTGATGAATGAATGAATGAATGTGCCTGTAATTCTACATCCCTCACAATCCTTCAGGTTATGAGACTTTGATGAGTAGAACTTTGCATAATTTTTGAATCCCCAGTGATGGTGATGATGATAAAGATGATGTGATAATAATAACAATATTAGGTTCTCATAAATTGGAAGAGCTTAAGGGAGATATCATTTGTGGTACTGTTCTGTCAGACACACTGATAGACTGAGGACCTTCTTCAGAGGCCTTTGTCAGAATTTGGTTTCCGTTAATTGTTGTAACACATTGACAAAGTTGTTTACTCTCAGTAATAATGTGTTAATGTACCACCACCAAAGTGGCTTTGTATGTCTCATTTGCAGGACAAGGTTTACCACTTGAGTGAAGATACCGGACAGATGCCTATCGACAATCGTGTTCACACCATAGATGATTTAGAAAGAGTACTGCTCCAGGATGATGTCAGCAATGATGTGCTGCCATCTATTGTGGACGACCAGACCCAACGTTCCAAGTCTAAAAAGCATCGGCGGACAAGAAAGGGAACACGTATGTACACCACATATCTTATGTTGATGAGTATCAGCAGAATGTACTGCTGAAGTGACTTAAAATATCTGTGAAAAAAAAGGCCAAAAATGGCATGATGTTTACACCAATTTAGCAGAACATCTCATCACATGCATCAATGGTCAGAAAATTTTAAAGTTTTATGAACTTAACCAGCATATTTGGATTCTGGACATAACTGTTGAAACCACTGTGTATTTCAACTGTGGAGGACCTTTCTAGAAACACTCATAGGTGCTCACTGGTCAAACAACTATCTGATTTGGTAAAACTTGAATGTACATTGCCATGGTCACAAAAACCTGCCATTGAACTCTATGCTGAATTAGTGGAGTCTAGTTTACACCTTCACATCATATTTTTTGAACATATATTATGATACTACATATCTCTTTTATTTCTGGGTCTTCCAACTCATCTCTTCCACATAAATGTCACACAAAATGTACTTAGTCCACTGTACTTCTGTTCTAATATGTAAATGACTAAATATTCAGTTCTGGAGATACTGACAATATATTTTTGTAGACTGTCTGATGTTTTCTTTGAAGAAATATTCACTACTCAATTACTGACATGAAAACAGTAAATACTTTTCTTTCCAACAGGTCGGGCAGTGTCATGCCAGGTGGGCGAATGGGGGCCCTGGTCTCCGTGCAGCCTGTCTTGTGGTATTGGAGAATCTACAAGGAGTCGAAAGGTGCTGAAACACTCACGACGTGGGGGTCGACCCTGTCCTCCTCTTGCTGAGTCCAAATGGTGTGGTGAGCACACTGCCTGTCCCCAGAGGTTTTTCAACTGGTGAACCTTCACCCACACTGTAAGCCAACTGTGAAGTGCGCACTCAAGACTTGAGCTAAGGCAGTTTGTGGTTGAGAAGTAAGATGGGATACCATAACTTTCTTTGTGGAATCCATGGTGCACTGTAGGAACTCTGCTGATATTTACTATTTTGTTGATGCTGTGATGAAGTTTTTTGTGAGATATGATGGAAATTATGAGGGCCCAGAAACAGCTCTGACCAGAAACTGCTGATAACTTCGAAAAGAAATGTTTGACACTAAATAGTCAGACATATTCATAACACGTTTCCCTGCCAGTGTCTCCTGTGTTACAATACTGGAAATTTAGATAATGAAAATTCTTATGGCCACAAAGTCAAAATATTTTAATATGTGGAAAGTTTTTCTTAGGGAAGTGAATTTATTCATATTCATAATTATGGACATGCAGTTCATAAATTATTCTCATGAGTACAGAAATCATATGTACATATTATTTTGAACAGATATTAGCTTCGTACTTATGCTGAAACTGCTGAAACTGATATGTGAATTTTTTTTTTCAGTTGTAACAACATCTTACAGTTAATATGGTAAATCCTACTAATTTTAACGGTTTGCAGAGATGGTGAAATGCTGAAAAGTATGGAATAACAACTCACTGATATGCACTTCCTCTCTATGTTTGTGAAACCCACTACTCTATTACAAAAAGAGATACAAATGTGGTTTCCATGCAGGTTGTTATATTTGAGATTGGAAATTTAACATGAACCAATAAACAGTGAAACAGAACACGTCCCTCTGGGTCCCCTGCTTTGGTTTTTGTACAGTGAGCCAAAGTAAAATTTACTGTCATTGTTAGATGTTGTTGATACTTTTGAAATCCATAAGGCTCAGATGTATGTGACATTCTAACTGGTTCAATTCATTGGGTTTTAAATTCAGAACTGGGCCCCATGTTGGGTTGGACTAAATTACCAAACTTATATTGTACTTGGAGAAATACTGATTGCTGGGAAAAAGGAAATGATCCACAAAATGTATAAGAAACTTCCTGAATATGTATCCTTATGCAATAATATATTCAAAAACCTACAGTTTCTAGACTGCAGTGATAAGTGTTATTATTATGATACTTATTTTTAGCCCATAGTATTTTGTCTGCACATATTAATCACACAAAATTAATCCCAATTTGAACAGTTCTGAAATTATTACAAAACTTCCATATAGGTTTGCTGCATATGTTCGTTCAGCAGTAACATAATTTTTTCTGCCTTCATCCAGTGAAATTTCAAAAACATTATTCATTGTACTAAACATTATCCTAGTAGGAAGAAATTCTAAAATTGCTAATTTGACAGTGAGTTATTCATGACTGTGTGTTAGGTTAGTGAAAGGAAAGGGAACATTGAGGGACCTGGACTAGGAAATTGTTTTCACACTACTTGGGAATTGAAAAAATTGAGTATGGAATAAATGCACGAATGAATATGAATATATTCAACTAATACACATTTGCATTTTATATGTTTCTTTATATTTGTAAGAACTGTAGAGCTACATAATACAAAGCATGGAACATACTAATGTATTTTGAGATTCAGAAGGTATTTTATAGCGAAAGTTGCATTTGATATTCTCAGTAGCATGCATATTTGAGCATACAATTTGCGGTACAGGTTAATATTTATGAAATGTTTTTGAGTATACTATGAAATTGATTTATGTGAATTTGTGACAGAGTGCACTTCTTATTAATATGTGTTATGTTTTGCATATTTAACGTGTCTGTAAACTTAATACAACTTATAAAAAATGTAAATAATGTAAATATTTGTATTAAGTTATGTATAATATGCATTTCATGTAAAGTATAAGAATAAAATTATTTTTGTGTGCAACTCGATATTGCTTTGGACTAACGAATGAGCTGTGTAGTGCTGAAATGTAATGTTGTTGTTACAGATAGCTGTAATGTTGAAGTACAAGTGCTCCCGTAATGTTGTTACAGATAGCTGTAATGTTGAAGTACAAGTGCTCCCGTAATGTTGTTGTTACAGATAGCTGTAATGTTGAAGTACAAGTGCTCCCCAATTTAATGTAAAATTTTGTTTCAAAAGAAGTCCCAGAGGGTGAAATTTCATAAAACAGGTACAGTGGGCTCCTGATTATCGAGGATGGATGGGAGGTGAGTTTCCCTGGATAATCAGTAAAAGGAATACATAGCTAATATGTAACGAGAGCTTAAAAGGCAAAGAGAAAAGCAGTGTTACTCGAACGCTGTTTGTAGAAACATGAGTGTGGCTTATGAGAGGCTTCTGCCTGGTTTCTACAAACTAAAAAGAAAAAAAAGACTGCTCGACAATGTTGTATTATAGCATTCTGTTGCTCTGTGTCCAATGTTATTCATGAATTCACTGCCGTTTCATGTATAACTCACCAAAAGTTTTTAAAATTCAAAATCTAAGATTTCACTTTTTTATTTTTAAACCTCAAAACAAAACAAACTCCGTGGTCTGTAGTCCGCAAGCGAACTATACCGACCCAGCGACAGCCGAAGTAAGTGTCAACTTTTGCAGATAGAGAGTGCCACGTGGTCAGCGCAACGGATCCCCACTGCCGTTAATCTCGGTTCTCTAGACTGGAGCCGCTATTTCCTTGAAATAGCTCCTCAATTATTGTCACAAGGCTGAGTGGATCCAGTTCCAGACCCAGTAGTCATTCTCAGAAAATCTGGTAGCGCCTGGAATTGAACCCGGGACTTCTGGATCTGTAGCCAGGAACTCTGACCACTAGACCACAGAAGCGGTCCCTGGTTAACCTATGATAATATAAAACCAGAAATTCCAGCCATTGGTTAGCCATTCTTCCTCTATGGCTTTCTGGTCCTGTGATTCATTTATGTACCAAACAGTTAACCTTAGATATTCCCAAAGTATAGTGACCCAGGGGGAGTTTCTCTGGATTTTCGTGCACCATCCCATTATTGCACCAAATCATGCAGGATAAAGAGTATCTTCTAGATACTTCTACCAGTCACTGAGGTTTTACTTGCAGTTAGTGTTTCCTTAGGACTCTTCCTGAAATTGTATACATATATTGCTCACATACTGTGGATGAAACAAAATAGTGGCTTGCCTTCTATTTGAGAGTATTTTGTAGTGTGTGTCCTATTGGGAATTTAAGAAAGAAATATATTGAAATAAAAAGGCCTGACTTTTTCCAAGACGTTAATTTTTATAATTATTTATATGTATTCGTATTGTATTAATCATATGCGCAAATTAATATTTTCGGGATCGCACATCCCATGTAGCCTAGTACTTAATTTTTTTTAATCGCTTAGTGGGGGGTGGAGCCCTACTGGAACCACTCGGCACGGCGGCCACTGATTGGCCTATTGTAGCCTGCTCCGGATGATTATGATGATGAAGAATTTGGTGGAATGAAGATTGGCAGGGGAAACCGAAGTACTGGGAGAAAACCCGCCCCAACGCCACTTTGTCCACCACAAATCCCACTTGACCAGACCCGGGATCGAACCCGGGCCGCCGCGGTGGGAAGCCAGCGACTAACCGCTTGAGCTATGTCGCGGCCATAGTACTTAAAGTTAGGCCGTCTCTTCTTTACACCCTTTCCAATTCTTTATTCACGAACCCAAATACTAGACTTTACACAGTCTGAGCTACTGAAAACGCCCTTAAATAAATCCCGAATAAATAAATAAAAATAGTATATGTACTGTATTATATCGTTCATTTGTCCGTTGGTCAGGCGAGTGGCATATTGAAAATATGAAGAGCTAGAAATTCCTCCACGTTCCCAGTCTCAATTTTGTTGCCTATGGCCTTTTTTACAACTGGCCTGGTAAGCTCCTAAAGCAAACCAATGTACATCAATGGAACATCGCCTCGATGACATGAGACAGAAATTGAAGACCGTGAAGAGAGAGGAAATGACACATACCCCCACCAGGTGGACGCACTGCATATCGATACAGCACCGATTAAGCGGATTAAGCATTGTATTGTGAGGTAGGTTGGAAGGGGTTGGTGTCTTTATGTGTTATGCTGTGTCTTAAGGTAACGTACTAAAATCAGTGTTAACATTTCATTCAGTGTCATGTTTAGAGTGATAATATATCGTGTGAGGGAGTCGGTGCTTGATCTCAAGGTACACAGACATGAATTTGTGTTGTCAGTGTGGAATAAAACGAGTTCAAACGTGTGTTCTAACAACAAAAAATGCAGTGTGTGTTTCAGTAATACAGTGTCTTGTGAAGACAAAGGGGAAGGTAGAATGTGCCCAGTGATTACATATTTAAAACACAAAACTGAGTTGAAAAGCCGTGCGTTGAATGTGAGTGAACAATTATGCGTATCACCCGAATTGTCAGTGAATAAGTGATACTTCAACTTCCGTTGCCCGCCAAGCATCTACACCAGGGTTCCGCCATCTTCAGCGTCGGTAAGTAGTTCATGTAACAATGATACATAATCCGATATTGTATTTAGTGAAGACCTTAATTAAATATATATTCTGCAATGAAAATTGTGAAATATGCAGAGCATCTCTGAGACTGTTGGGTATAGGATAATTGAGGAACGGTATACTATAAACAAACTTATCACCGATTTCCCTGTTTGATGTAAGTTCACATACTATGACCAGTTACGTATGCCCCTTTTACCCGCAACATATCACAGCGTAGGTAACAATACTGATATCTGTAATTTCGTTAGCAAAGTTTTCTATCGAATACATCCAAATTCTGTTACCCATAAATTTAATTAAGTTTTAGCTCTGATTTTAATTTAATTTATATGATATTTGAACTGAATCTTGTAAGCATAATGAAACACGAATACTTCGACTAGTTGTGCAGTGATAACCACGCCATGACAGTGCACACTAAATATGCACAACCAGGCAATTGTAGTTAAAGTATTACGAATTTCTTCCATTGTGAGCAAATTATTGTTGCATAAAACAGTATAAGCACAACGCGAAGGCCTGCAACCGAAACCTAAGAATTTTATTTTATTTTATTTTATTTTCGGAAACCCGCCGTTTTGTAATTCAGTCTTCAGGCACGGTGCGCATGTTTTTTAAACTGTAAGACTCTCATTCAACTACAACATATATAGGCCTAAAGAAGAATTGCCAAGTCACTGAACCATATTCCTTCTACTATAGTAATCAGTGTGTGTTATTGACAGTGACTACTAATTAAGCACAGAGACAACTTTCTTTTTCTTGGCACTACAGCCCCAGTGGACCTAGGCCTACCTCCATGAACTTCTCCGTTCACTTCGGTTTTTCTAGATCTTACACATTCGGTAGGACTCCTTGGGAGGGTGATCAGCTCGTCGCAAGGCCTCTACCTGTACACAAACACAGAAAAACACGCACACACAAACTAAACATCCATGCCCTGAGTGGGATTCGAACCCACAATCCCGGCTTCCGAGCAAGCGAAGACAGTACATGCCTTACACCGCTCGGCTACTGTGACCGGCCCTGTTTTCAGTGTACTTGGCTTAATTTTCGACCTTGAATATGAAAGCAGGTTGTTTCTCCGAAATTTTAATAAATTTCTACCAGACTACGCGTTGTCAAACTTAGTCTTTCTGTATCCTATCTAAAAACATATTTTGATCTGCTGTTTTTATGGGAATAAATATATTCNAGACGACTTTCTCTTCTTTAAATTGTGACCACAGCCTCCTTTCCTCCTCAGTATAATTCTTCTTCCCTCTCTCTCTCTCTCTCGGGAGAGTAATTAAAGTTAGAATTGTCCCTTTTTTAATTAAGCATCATGCCATGAAGGTGTACGAAGGAGTGGAGGCGTAGCTCTAAGGCTTCTTAATTTCCATGCTTTATGGAGGTTTGTGGACACCTTCACTCTTGGCTGCCTTAACCTCAGGGAGAGGTTGCTCGGTACTCGTAGGATAGGAGGTTAGGGAGCCCCAGATCCAGTCTAGATGCTATGGAGAAAATAAATATATTGCTTATGTCAGCAGTCAAATCCCACTTTCTCGGTTATGTAGGTCGTAGCCTAACCACTATATCGACTAAGCTATCCTGGCTGGTCTTGAGGGAGAACTGAATGCTACAGGTTATGATGCGATTGATAAGTTCGGGTTCTGGAAGTGTCAGAAACGCCAGAGGAAAATAAATGTGAACATGAAGTTGATTTCCAAGTGCTTAAAGTGGGGAGTTCGCGGACGCTGTTAGCGACGTGACTCCATTGCTCGACCCAGTTGTGGCCCGGTAAACTGGTAACTTACTTAGTGTCGGTTCCTGTACTCTGTTATATGGACTATCATGCCAGCTATGATTGGGAACAGTGATGAAAGAAAAGGAGTTGTGCCCTATTTGGAATTCCAGTAAGTTAAGTTAGTAGAATAATTACACTTCATCACCTCCCTTGCGTCACTCACTCCCTCTCACTCACTCATGGAGCTGGACCCTTCTTGAGAAGCTGTCAATTGTGCAGCCACTCAAGAACTTCCCAGGATTTTATGTAACTCGAAGGCTCATTACCGTGTTCATAAGAGCCCTCCAGTAGTCCCTATCCAGAGCCAGATCAATCCAATCTATACCGTCTCATTCTATCTCTCTGAGATCCATTTTAATATTGTTCACCCATCTACGCCTTGGTCTTCCCAGTGGTCTCATTCCTTCCGGCTTTCCCACCAATATCCTATATGCATTTCTCTCTTGCGCCACAGTAACCGAAATATGAATTCTCTGCTGGAGCACGGCCCGAGACCGCTAGAGGAAGACAGCTCACACAGAAAGATCAGTCTACTCCCAATAATGAACAGAATTTTCGAAAAAGCTATGCTCAAGAGATTACGCCAGATGATGGAAGAAAACCGAATCCTCGCGGACCATCATTCTGGGCTTCGACAGAAACCCTCTACCACAGAACAAGTACACCGAATTACAGAGATAATAAGAGGAACTTTAGAAAGAAAGAAAGAAGCAGTACTGCTCTGTGGCGTTCCTAGACGTCACACAAGCGGTTGATAGAGTATGGCACCCAGGCCTCTTTTTGAAAATCAGAAAAATCCCTTTCCATGGGTATTACAGAATACTGGAATCACACCTAACGGATAAAACAAACCTCAGTGCTAAGGCGGCGATAGGTTTCTAACCAACTATTAAATAATGAAATTGTAAAAAGAAATAGGTCGTATTCCTTCTGCATACTCTCATGGGCCCGGGTTCTATTCTTGACTCGGATACTGAGTATTTTTACTGAGGTTTTTCATGGTTTCCTTAGTACTTCCAGGTAATTGTTGGGTTAGTATCTGAAATTAGGCCACGTCCGCTTCCTTCCACATGTCCCCCCCCCCC